CTTTAACCCGCTGCGCCACCAGGGAGGGCCTCATGTTTTTCTTTCTTTCTTTTTGGTTGCTGAGTAATATTCCATTGTGTATATGTACCACATCTTTTTAATCCAGTCATCCATTTTTGGGCATTTGGGCTGTTTCCATGTCTTTCCAATTGTGAATAAAGCAGCAGTAAACATGGGGGTACAGGTACCTCTTTGAATCAGTGAGCAGTTTGAGGAACCTCCAAACAGTTTTCCATAGTGGTTGTACTAGTTTGCATTCCCACCAGCAGTGCAGGAGAGTTCCTTTTTCTCCATGTCCTCGCCAATATTTGTTGTTGCTAGTTGTTTGAAGATGTGCCATTCTCACTGGGGTGAGGTGGTATCTCATTGTGGTTTTAATTTGTATCTCCCTTATTACGAGTGATGTTGAACATTTTTTCATATGCTTGTTGGCCATTTGCATTTCCTCTTTGGAGAAGTGTCTTTTTACCTTTTCTGCCCATTTTTTGATGGGGTTGTTTACTTTATTTTTGTTGAGTTTCATCAGTTCTCCGTATATTTTTGTGATCAATCCTTTATCACTAGTTTTGTGTGAGAAAAATTTTTCCCAATCAGTGGGATGTCAGTTTGCTTTTTTTAATGTCTCTTTTGCTATACAGAGCTCTTTAAGTTGATATGTCCCATCTGTTTATCCTTGCCTCCACTATCATTTTATTGGGTCATACTTCCCATTTTTTAGGAATGAGTTTGAATTCCATGAAGGTTTGTTTTCTGCAAGATCAGGCTTAGTCTGTAAACTTGGAAACATGCCGTAGGTCAGACTAGCCAGCCATAGGGGACGAGCACTGACTTGGGCATGAGAAGATTGCTGTCTAATCCCAGCTTTGTGCAAATTAGGCAGGCAATTTAGTCTTTCTGGACATCAGTTTCTTCATTTGTGAAATGATGACCAAGGACTAGGTAGGTGATTTCAAATTTTGCCTCAAGAATTACTATTCCTATGGTTCTGTTTCTAACACCTTGTCAGGAATGAGGTATGGCTTCTTTCCATGTCACTCTCCTAAGATATTGGTAGCAACACCACCACCATTTTGCCACTTGACTTATTTTGTTTGAATATATTAGATAAACTATTTACATTTTCCCTCCTTGGTTCTCAGTAACCTTCAGTTCTTTGGCATCTCCCATTTATTAGATCCTATCACTATAAGAACATATAATGGTGATGATGATTATTTTGCAGCTAAAAAGCTAAAACTAAGACAGGTGAAGGTCTTGTAAGTAATTAAGTTATGGTGAAGATTTGAACTCAGGTTGTTTTGATTCCATAGCTTCTTTCTATTTCATCCACGACAACCTTGATAGGACCCTTGTTTATTTCCTACTCTGTGAGATGTCTCATTAAGTTTTCGTTTTGTAAGATTGTGCTTACAGTCTTAAGTAAGGTAGCTTGTCAGCCTGGCCTCTTGGGAAACACCATGCTTGCCCCAAGTAAGTTATACTGTAGATGTCCGTTCAAATTGAAAACAAGTTTGCTATCATATCACATTCTATTACCTAGTCTTTCCCTCATTCTTAGTCTGCTGGGAATTCAGTCCAATTTGAGACAAAGGATATTTTCAGTCACTGTTCCAAGCCCTCTGATAACAAGACTGGATAGCTATTGCCAAGAACTTTTCCAACCTGGCAGTTCTCCTTGGCTACTTTCTGTAAGGAAGTTATTCCCTGTGTGAAAGGCCCTGCCTTAAAAAGGGGTGACAAGATCCTCCCTGGCAGTACAAGGGGTTAAGGTGCAGAACTATGAGGCTGTCTGTAGCCACTGCAGCACAGAGTTCCATCCCCAGCCAGGGAGCTGACCCACATGACGCAGCAGACCTCTTCTGTCCCGCCCTCTGCTCCTCTCAGCACTGTGTCAGTCAGTCTGCCTGTTCTGTTCCCCACTCTGTCTCTGGTGAATCCTCTCACCCTCCACACAGAAACTCTGGCCTGTACCCCAGTTCTTGTGTGCATAAATAAATATTTTTCTAAAAAAGAATAATTTATGCACATAGGGTCTTTGGGACAGTCTGAAATAGGTTGATACTTCCTGGACTGTGATGACAATTACTGTTGAGTCCAGTGAAGCTCCAGGTAGCATAAATAAGTAAATATTTTAAAAATAATAATAGATATTTTTTTTAAAAGAAAACAAAGAGGTGAGGTGAGGTGAGATACATTAGTTAGAGTGGGATTCCAGGTCTCTGTTCTGTCAGGATTTGTGACGACTTGGCTTCCTCTCTACTGAGGGCCACAGGTAGAGGTGTGTAAGGATTCCTTAGAGACTATGTGGCACATAGGTGATCTACCAACTTTGAAGCTACCATGACTTGAGATAGTGGCTGTGGTTCTTGGCTGCTAACAATTCCAATAGCTATTAATGAAACCAGACTTGTGCTTGGGAGTTAAACTATTACCTGATGGATTAGGGAGGCATCTCAGCCTAGGAGAGGCCTTCAGAGTTGCATGGAAGCCAAAGTATGAGTCGGCAACTTAGGGTAAAAGCTGAAGTATTTAAGCACAAGGGCTCTAGGAGATTGCTCTCTGCCTAAGATTGCTCATACCTCACATCCCAGGTCCATGTTAGTGTGAGGCCCTACATGGGATATGTTCCTAAAGAATGAATGAAGCTGCGGGCAGCAAAACCCCAGCGTAGGAAAGTATCCCTCTGAAGTGCTCTGAAGTCCTGGAACTACGCTCTGAGCTTCACATGTGATCTTAGGAATTTAAGAGAGGGCAGGTGATGGCAGAAGCATGGTAAAGGGCTGCTTTCCCCTGGGCAGAAGAGGATGAAATTCGGAAGGAAGCACACAAGAGCCAGGGAAGGAGGTCAAAGTGGGCAGGGTCTAGACAAGAGGAAAACTGAGATCATGCACTAAGTTCAGCCTGGCCTCTGGTTTCCTTCCAAGGAGCTGATAATTCAGGAGCCTCAGCTTTTCACCACCGTACAAGTAACTGAACTAAGTGGCACTGGTAAAAGATAGCTTTGCTGGGAAGGGAAAAATCCCTGTTCTAAGTCGTGGATAGAGATCTTGGAGCTTTTGTGCTGCCCTTGCAAGAAGAGAGAGCCCAGGTGACTGAGGCAGGTCACCTGAGGCCTGAGGCTCTCAGGAGGTAGCATTTCTCGACATGCTACCATCTCAGAGTTTGGTTTTAGCATGGCATTTATCTTTTGCTACCTGATACCCTCAGGGAAAGCCAGGCCCAGCTTCCTGGGCCATAGGAGTTGCTGAGGACACCCAGAGTTCAAGGGTTGGGAAAACAGCTTTTCTCCTGGCTCCTGGTGGTTGGTTCCATCTTGCAGGAATTTTCCCTTTTTCTGGGCTTGAGCCACTTACTTCTATGCCAAGACCTTGGCTGTAGCTATTCCAGCCACAAGCACAGCCCACGTGCATGAGAGGGGTGGATTACTTTTGTGGGTGACTGCTGTTGCTGGTACCAGTCCTTCTGCCAACAGAGCTGACAAATGGAATTAGAAGCAAAGAGTCGACCTAAATAAGGGTCTGTGGGAAACAGCCAGGAAAAGGTGACCTTGTGAAGCTAGGTGTCTGAAAGGTAGGAACCTGGACCTGAACTTGAGGCCAGACCTTTGCCCCAGTTGCTCCTTCCCTGCAAACTTAGGCCAAAGCCTTCCACGTGTTCTCCATCCCTACTCTCTCCTCAGGAATTTTTGGAAAGTTTAAGTGCTTGCTGCCAGGTGCCTTGGCACAGACCTGAATTGATGAAGGAAACAACCCAGAGCCCCTTTCAGCCCCTCAGGTGCCTGTTGTCAGCCCTTCTGACCAGCATCATTACAGCATGTTCTTTTTCTCTGGTAGGGTTGAGCTTCCTCATTTGCTCATTCTTCACAAGCTCTGTACTTTGCTGGAAGCCCCCATGACATTACAGGCCACCCTGGTTATCACAGTGAACAGTTATTCCCTCTCCTGGTCTCTCCTTTCTGCCCAGCTCACTTTTTTTTTTTTTT